GTTTTTTAGTTCTGCATTGTTAGCTACACAGAGAGAAATGAGGAGATCCCTTGATTTTGTCCAATTATGGAAAACTTCACCCTCATACAAGGTCTCCAACCTAGGACTTCCAATCACCACAGCCTCCTGTGGCTTAAGGAATGCAGAATTCTGCTTGGTAGCAGACCCCCTTTGGCCTGTCTTTAGACATGCTGCTCAAAGACGATGCCAAGTGAAGCTTTGGAAGAGGTGAGGGGGACCAGAAGCCAGGAACTTTAACTTCAGTGTAAGTCTAAGTTTGACCATTATCAGATGCAGTAACCTGCATCATTACTAAATGCAAATGAACGTACAAAGATGTCTTTAAAATTAAAGTTTAGTTACGTTAGATGACAGATATTATACTTTGAAAAGATAATAAATTATTTAGCAATGATTCAGAATTATCACCCGATTATAGGGAGAAAATAGAAAAGCAAGGAAACATGTCAACAACCATTATTTATTTTGTGAGGCTGCTCCAACTTCAAAGGTGTTTGATTTCAGGATAGAAAAACAGTGTGGATCTGTTCCTAATAAGGCAATAGTTACAGAAAAGTAACAATAAAGGTCTCAGATTTTTACTGGAAGCATCGTCTCAGATAAATGTGAACTCTGAAGTCCTATTTTGTTGACTAACAGGAAAAAAAAAGTTGGATCTAAAGGTCTCTGAAATTCCTATCTGCCCTAATACTAAATTTTGCCTTTTATTACCTTAAAATAAATGCTTGTCTCTCCTATTTCAAATACAACCTTCCCCAGTTCGTGAAAATGAATATAATGTGGTGCTGCTGACTCTATTGTGATTATTTGAAACAACCATGTGACTCTTCGTATTTTGCTTTTAAAGCTCTTTGTAGAGAAGGTTAAAAAAAAAAAGTGAACCAATTGCTAAGAGTAGTGGTTTCACTCGATTAAAAAAAAAAAACCCTCCATTTTACAGATGAGGAAAGGGTTTCAGAAAAGTTAAGTTTAAAAGTCATGGCATTGTTTTGGTCCTAAGAATGCATGAAATAGAACTCCTTTGATACTAAATCTTATGTTTCTTATCCATACCAGTTTTCAAATGTCTGATAATGGGGACTTTAGTCTTTTGTGTCCTCGAAGTGTGGCTGACATTCAGAAACCTAGGATGCCATGCAATGTTCAAGGACATGTACTTTTCTCTGCTGAAATTGGCAGTATGTTTATTCCCATTGCCAGTGTTCTAAATTCTACCTTCACTCCAGCAGTGTCAGCAACTTGAAATCTCCTTCTTAGGTTCTGCTTCCTTCCTATGATGGTGACCCACACCGTTGAACAGATGAATCATTAGATGAGGAAAGGAAGCAAGTCTCAAATGTAATGCATGGGACTGAGGTCCGTAGCTATGTGTGGCTTTAGTTTGCTACCAAGATGCAAATGCATTTTAATTCAGTTTTTAATGGATTTCTATTCTACATCTACCTTTTGAATCAAAAATGTCCTTTGCCAGGTAACAATTTCACTTTACCTTTAGTTCCTCCTGCAAAATGGAAAAATAGTATTGATTTGTAAAATACTGTGACATCTCAGGGCAACCAAACACCTTGGAACTACTATGAAAGCTTGTATATCTAGGATGTTGACAGAAACCACATTGATAATAATTACTATTTTTTTAATCTAGTTACCTAACAATTTTAATTCAAGTTTCTTGAAACAGTCCCTAACTATTGCTTCTTCTATTAAGACTCAGTCTGCAGCCTGAAGAAAAGAATTGTAGATGCCCTTTCAAAAAAAAAAAATATATATATATAGCATATATATATAACATATATATTATATATGTATAAATTAAGACTACAAAGAATAAAGAAGGAGAAAAGAATGAGACTAGCCAAGTAAATAAACATGTTGACCATGACAAAGTAGGTGGCTAAAAGCAGTCACTAAAGCCTTGAAAACAGGATGCAATATAAAATATAAGCACTTACCTTTTATATTTGAGTACTGAAGATGAAACATTACTAATTAGAGCAAGTTTAAGGGTAATAAATTTTGACCAGTTTAAGGATAATAAATTGTGACCAGTTTTCCAACTCCAGGAGCTAAGCATTAACACCGAACAGGGAACTTTAGTTTCTGGCCAGAAGCAGGGACTAGATTTACCCTCATGCCTGAAATGACTAGAAGAATAGACAATGGATGTGAAACAATATTTCTCAGACACTGAACAATAGGTAGCCCAGGATGGTGATCCCTGAGAGAAGGGAAGTGAATGAGATATGCCTTATGATTACATCAGTTTATTGCCTGAGAGGGAATTTCCAGACCAAAGCTCAGGGAGGTGGAACCCAAAGAGAGCCCGGAGGTCTTGCTGAGTTGAGGAGACAGGGCTCACACTTTCCGAGGCCAAGGAACCTGGAATTTCTGGGGCAGCATACAAGAGACAGATTTCCAAAGTTCTAGGGAAGGGTCTTGGGCTGCCTCCTGCCTCCTAATGCATTTTTACCCATGCATTAAAGGAAACTGCCCAAGCCAGGGAAAAGTACAAGTAAAGAGCAGCCTAAACAGAGTATCTGTGCTTTGAGACTCACTTGTAAAACCGACATGGAACGACATGGGACCATTCCCCAAATTCCAACTGGAGACCTCACCAACTTAATCCAATCATCATGACTCAGATCAGTGTCTGACATGTACCCTGAGTCCAGGCACCCTATAGGATAGCTTCTTTTTTTTTTTTTTTTTAAGATTTTATTTATTTATTTGACAGAGACACAGCAAGAGAGGGAACATAAGCAGAGGGGAGTGGGAGAGGAAGAAGCAGGCTTCCCGCCAAGCAGGGAGCCCAATGTGGGGCTCGATCCCAGGACCCTGGGATCAAGACCTGAGCCAAAGGAAGACGCTTAATGACTGAGCCACCCAGGTGCCCCATACAGGATAGCTTCTGCATGGTGCAAGACACATACACATTCTGGAAGACTGGACCTTTAAGCAGGGGAGAGGAGAAAGGAGTGTGCCCACACTTTGGGGCCAGATATGGGTGTGCTGGGGCTCCTGGAGCAGAGCCAACACACCATTACCTGATGTATGGCTTGGAGGGAAAGTAAAGAGACTTAGTAGCTATAGTTGTTAGTTTTCAAAAGGTGAGAATCATTTTCCCTTCTCATAGCTTCAGCTGTTTGGCTCCTGTTGGAAGACCCTGGATTATTTCTGATCTTGGTTTTACATAGTCCCATGGCAACCATCACAAGCCCTGGCTAAATATCTCTGTCCAGATTCAGACTGTCTTCTGAAAAGAAAATTCCCTAAACCCAAATTTACCAAATCAACACCTTTTAACACATCTAAAATAGAACAGAATGAAGATTTAAAGAGAAATAAAGTCTTTTTAAAAAGTAAAGAAAATAAATAAAGAGAAATAAAGTAATTTTACCACACTTGACCTATTTAATTATTCTTCAAATTTAATGTCTTTGAGTTTCAAGAAGATTGTTGATATGGAAGAGAAACAATCTCATTTGCACACATCTTTTTGTCTCCTTCTGTTAAAATGTAAGCCCTGCCTTCATTTCTTCCTATATAATACATGTTCCATCATCTGCCCCAGCATCTCCCTTTTCTCTTCCAATCCTGTCCTTTCTCATATGTTCCCATTGCGTCCTCTTTCTGTTTCAAGGTCCTTCTCTCTCCTCATTTCCACCCAGATCTAAACCTACTCCTGATACACTCACCAAATGTGCTCATGAAAACAACCTGCCTTAGCACGCTGGTTAAGAGCATGGGGTCTAGGGCCCATGCCCTTGGCTTCAAATTCAGACTCTGCCACTAACTGGCTGTGTGACCTTTTGCAAGTTACTTAGCCTCTCTGTGTTTCAGTTATTTATGCAAGGAGAACATTCATAGTTCAATGGTCCCTTCCTTATCTGCAGATTTGTTTTCTGTGGTTTCAGTTACCCATGATTAACTACGGTCCAGAAGATGATCCTCCTTCTGATCTAACGTCAGAAGGTCAGTAGTAGCCTAACACTACGTCACAATGCCTATGTCATGCACCTCACTTCATCTCACCATGTAGGTATTATCATCTCACATCGACACAAGAAATGTGAATACACTATACTAAGATATTCTGAGAACAAGAAAGTGAGAAATCACATTCACATAACTTTCATTACAGTATATTGTTACAAGTGTTCTATTTAATTATTAGTAACCACTGTTAATCCCTTACTATGCCTAATTTATAAATTAAACTTTATCACAGGTATGTACGTATAGGAAAAAAACATAGTGTGTGTGTGTATATATATATATATATATATATGTATATATATATATAGGGTTTGGTACTATCCGTGGTTTCAGGCATCCACTGGGGGGGACATACTCCCCCCTGGATAAGGGGGTCTACTCTTGTAGGTCTTGTAGAGCTGCCGTGAGGATTAATGACAGAATGTTCCTAAGCCTCCTGGCACAGTGCCTGGCACATGGTGGACTCTCAGTTTTTAAAAAAGTGACCTATTGTTATTATTAATAATGTCATCTTTTATTTAGGGTTTTGCTTGGTGAGCCACCAAGATCATAAATGAAAGGGAATTTAGGTACTCGGGTATTTGGGTATTTTTTTTCCAGAAAGGAAAAAAGGAACAGGGTAGACTCAATGTTCATGAATTAAAAGGGAGAAAGAAACCCCAAAGAGGTGCTGGGCTATGAAAAGCACTGAGAATTAAGCTCTGTTTCTTCTTTTGTCCTTTCTTTCTCCCCACCTCAGAAACTCATAGAAAAAAAAGCTTTAGCATCTTTGGGTCCTCAGGCTCAGAAGATGGGCTCACTTCTGGATGAGCAATGCTGTATTCAGAATCACTGGTGACCAACATTCAATAGATCCTTTTAAGCCATGTCATAATGCAGCAAAACATCAGAAGCAGAAAAAAAATCGTGCAACTTAATTTTTTAACAGGTTGTGGAAACTGTGAAAAAGCTTGTTACACTGAGGAAGAAATAGACTTACTCACCTACAGGAGTCTACTTGGCTGATTAAGGCTTGTCCCTTTTGCAAAGCATCAGCTGTGCAGTCTTTAATTTCTCTGTGTAATTCCTCATGCCTCGCTGCCAAGACAGGCAGACTTAAACCCTCTGATTTAAGGAGCTTCAGGTAAGCTTCAACTCTCCCAAGTACATCAAATGCCTGCCAAAGAAAACATACTTTCATTTTCTGCTTTTCTACTTTAAAATCTACATTGATGTGTACATGAAATACTAGAGATTAAACCAGCCTATTCAATTTATTAGTTTGATCATAACCAAAAACAACAATCTGAGTCTGAGAAAACAGCTGTGTAGTTTTAAAGCTTCATTTAGGGAAACTGATCATAGCTTAGCTCAGCATAGATAAATGTCAACACCATAAAGTTACCAAAAGAGTTTACACTGAGAATGTGTCTATACAACACAGTTATAACTGTGTGGAATTCCAAGAGCCAAGCTTGCTTTTTGCACTTTTTGTACTATATACAAATAATGGATGAGATATTTTAAAAATATTATGCAGACTTTCACAACCTGAACGTCTCTGTGATGCTCTTAAAAGGAAATTGCCCAGTAAATTGCACTTTGAACCGGAATCATTCTAGAGAAATATTCAAGAATCACCCCTTGTCTTTCCAAGTATAAGACCTTCTCCCTGCTGCATCCAAGACATCCCTCTGTCTACAAAGATTATAATTTGGTTCTGAAGCTGTGCAAAGACTAAGACCAAGGTAATATTTAGCTTCTGATACACAAAATAGGATTATGCAGAAAAAACATCGCCTTGCAAACCAAGATACTGTCTTAAGTTTTGTTTTTTTTTTTAAATTCCTTTATTTTCTTCCTTTATTTAGCAGATCAACAACCAACCATGGGGGATTAAGTTTATGGAGTTAACAGAGAGTAGAGAGGAGCTATCCTTTTGTCCATTAAGGTTTAGTTGGCATTAAGATGGAGGAGTATCTGATATGAAGGCAGTAAAAGAAGGCCATGGTAATATGAGGAAAATAGAAGGAGAGCAAAGTGCAATGGTCTTCATAAGTGTCCTGAGAGCATGTTTCAGACTCTGGGCCTGGACAGCAGGAGCTGAATTAGGTACGTTGAAGAAAAGCTGCATGGCAAGGGAACACTTGCCATGTTGCCCTTTGGCACTAGTGGAAGAAGCCACCCAATGGGATGCTCCATACCAGTCTGGAGAACACTCCTATCCCAGTAAGCCTGATGGTGCCACAGTCAGCAGTCTAGCCTTCCTGGAATGTTGAGTTGGAAGCCATTGAGCTTGGTAGGGGCCCACCAGGTGCAGTAGGAAGAGTCACAGAAGACTCATGAGAAATGAAAGTGGTTGGCCTCGTGGGTCTAGTCACCACTGAGACCTGAGGAGGGGCCAGAGGAGTAAGGCCGAGTTGATGCTGAGAGAACACAGGTTAAGCCAAAGGTGGAGGCGACAGCCATGGAGCTGTGTGAATGTGCTCATGCGCCTGCACCTGGCTGCCATCTAAGAGAGGGTTTTGATGTCAGAATCAGAACTGGACAAAATTTGAACTTACAAATGAAATCTCTCCAACACTGTCCCATCACTTATATGTTGATATTCTGTATTCCCATCAATTTCCTCATGTCTCCTGAATCTGTTCTTTCTGATCACTTAAAATGTTTAAAACAACATCATTCCCCTTTATTTAGATGATAGGAAGTAATAATATCAACTCCAGTTTAATGAGAACTGACATGTTCTCCTTCTATACTCTGTGGTTCATGATTACTTTCCATACAGCCAACAAACATTTTGGAATGTCTGCTGAGTTTCAGGCACATTGTCCTGAATGGCCCTAGATGGAAGTGAGAAATCTCCATTGTATGGTGGGGGAAACTGAGTCTCAGAAATTAAACAAACTGCATAAAGTGATACTTCTACTAAGTGGCAGATTTGGTCTCTGTCCTCAATTTTACTGGCCCTCAGGTCCCTGCTCTTAAACCGTGGCCCATGGAACCATGTGGCAAAAGATTACCAGGGCAGGCTTCAGAAAGAAGGGACATTTCCAAGGAGCCCATTCATCTTAGGTGGAAAAAGTGGAGATTTTAAAACTTTTTTTTTTTTTAAAGATTTTATTTATTTATTTGAGAGGGAGAATGAGAGAGAGAGAGCATGAGAGGGGGGAGGGTCAGAGGGAGAAGCAGACTCCCTGCTGAACAGGGAGCCCGATGTGGAACTCGATCCCGGGACTCCAGGATCATGACCTGAGCCGAAGGCAGTTGCTTAACCAACTGAGCCACCCAGGCGCCCTAAAACTTAACTTTTTATAAATAAGTGTCTACCTTTCCTTCTTGTGGGTGAGAAAAGATAGGGAGAAAGGTTGAGTGATTTCTCTTACACTGTATAGGAATGGAAAAGGAAGATAGTTTTATTAAAGAAACTGTGACCTGAAGACTCTTCCTTATCTGATCCCCCTCTTTTTCTGCAGTTGGCAACAGAGCCAAATGTGTCAAGATGCTGATGTTAGAAAAGATTATTTGAATTACTTTCTCAATCTTTCCATGACACATTGAAATACCACTTGGCAATAGCCACTGTTTCTGGAATTTTGTTTTATATTTTAAATTTTTATTGCTTCTTTTGAATAGAGTCTCGTGTTAATCAAAGTTTAGTTTTAAAATTAAACAAAAATCCGGTGTAGTCAAAATTATCATGAACTCCCTTAAATCATGCTTAAAATTTAGTATATGTGAACTAGTGCTTATAGTAATACATATTCACATTGAGGATTGGAGCCATTGAGCTAGACTAAAGGAAGAAATAAAGAGAAAGTGTATATACGTAGATGTCAGGGCATTCACTTCTTTCTTCCCTTAAGATAATTCCCAAAATTCCTCGTGTGAATGGGGGAAAGAATAAAGAATTCCAAAGTGCTTTTTCTTCTCTATAAGTTTGACTCCACTGTTTTAGTATTAAGCCACTATAACCTTAATATATGTTTGTGTTGTTTTGAGAATTAAAGAAGGAAAAAAATTATATGAAAGTTAAGGCATAAGGATGGACATGGAGTAAGTACTCAGAAAATATTTTCTCGCGATTACTCTAAATCTTGATGACACACATCTTTGAAAAGTCCCTGAGAAGAGCAGGACCATCTGCTGCCTGTCATTCATCCTGCTTGGGCCTTTCCTCCTATGGCCCCAGGGAACAGCTGCTACTCTCATATCCTCGGGCATTGGTCTCATCTTCATAGGCGTTAGATTCTAAAGCCACATGTACATTAAATGCATGTGTGAAGTGACTCCACCCCCTTCCCGAATGTTATCATAAAAGTATTATATCTCAATAATATGGGAATAAATTGAAGGGCTAAACAGTCACTAGAAGGAGGTGATATATCAAGGACCAGTATAACCCATAACTTAGAATCAAAATAGCCAAATTTTCTTCTAGGGTTTTTTTCTCAAAAAGATCAAAGTGTTAGGAAAGCACTGACTTACGAATTGCTCTATGTATCACACTTGATAGAATTATGGCAGAAGAAAAGAGGTTGAGTGGTTGTGTTTCTTCATTAGCTCAACAAATATATTTGTAAATAAGATGAGCTGGATACTGTAAGAGAGCTTATTCTTTATCCTTAATCCTAACTTAACCCTAATGGGAATAATCTAAACCCACAGAAATACTAAATTTAATGATTTTAAGAGGAGTCCCCTTTCAAAAAGATTATACTGTCTGTGATTGTCAGAATCCTAGGCAAAACTCATTTCTCTTATCCCCATGTAGAATTTGATGAGGAATCCATGTACCAATTCCAGAAAGGATCTAAGTATCATTGCTCTCACTTAATCTATCCCCAGAATAGAACTGAATGCTTTTCTATTTACCATAACTCTAAGGAACCTGATATACTGGATCCAGCCTGGAAAGAATCTCTTTGTCTCACATGTGGTATAGAACAGGTTATTTTTGGCAATGACACTATGACCCCCATATAAACTCCTTTGGAATTAATATTTCCTCTTTAATTTTCTCTTCACATCCCCCTCTTTCTTCAAAGCTGGTCAAATACAGGTTTTAGGACTAGAGGCAAAAAGAAGGATATAAGCACAAGGATAATATTTTCTCCCTCTCAGTTCTAGCTCTTCTTGACAATTTTATATTGTACCACCCAGTTCTTAGGCAGATAAGGAGACCAATCAGCTCTTTCTGCTTTGGTTTGGAATGACTAAGGAGTTGCTTAGGGTTTTTTTTTTTAAGATGTTAATAAAGATTTTTCTTTCCATCGTTAAGTACAAGATCCAAAGCAGGCTGGGCCAAATCAAATAGAGATGGTATCAGGACATGGCACATTTTACTCTTTTTAAAATACCTATGAGATTAATAAGTTAAGCAAGAACCGTGAGTCAGCCAGGATACTTGTATCACTCTGTATCACAAAGATGCTTAATAAGTAGTATTGTTTGCTTCTAGACTAACTTATTTGAAGAGAATCAACATTATAAACAAAAAAACTCGAGCACTGCAGAACTTTGAAATTTTCCTTTCATGAGTTCCAAGGCTGGAGAATGAGTTTGGTTGGAAGCTTTGTCATTACCAAGGACACAAAACTCAGCTTCTCATTAGAGCACCAAATTCCACTGTCTGCAGAGATTTCCTCTGGGTTCAGTTTTCGTCAAGGCCGAAAGCTTCTGTTTCCTTTCCTAAACACCACCTGAGATAACTTCTTGTGGCTCCCAGTTTGGCAAGCTGATACTTGATTCAGGTCTTGCCCAAATCTGCCCAAGCTTTCAAATGCCAGAAAGGCAGGAGCCAAAGGGTGATGTGCTTTTCAGCTCCCAGTATTTGCTGTTCCCTGCTGGTGCTCCTGCTCATTCCTTGCTTCTCCAGGGTTGTCGTGGCTGGGCCCCAGTACGCCCTCCACGTTATAAGTGCTAGAAGGTAGCTTTGTGGTGTTAATAAGAGATGTGTAAAATCATGACTACCTAAAACTGGTTTTGGCCTCACAATGGGAAAAGCTGAAAAAACATTGGAAAAGGAGTTTTGGATTGAAAATGGCATGTATCTGATGCATTTTGTCAACACGGAATGGAGGAAGTGGATGTATTGACAAACTCTTACTTTTTCTGAGATAAGCCCATCTATGAAATGGACAAACTAGACCCATTAGTAGAACTTTATCAAGC